TATGTTGGTTGCGGTAATCTCCTCACCATAGTCACATATTATATAACTTTATGTGTCCTTTTCTAACATCCTAAAAATACAGATACAAATTTTTGTCTTTAAATTCATTCCATTCATAAGAAACAAATATCAAAATATTCAAGAAGTCATATTGTATCATAGCATCAGAGTATAAATCTCAAATTCACTAAGTGAGAAAAAGCATGGAGTGATACGGTGCGATCAAGCCGGACTCTTCCCCTTCGAACTAGAGGTATTTGAAACAGAAACTTAAAACTGTAAGCATAAATCTTAGTGAGTTCCCCTAACATACCACATACAAATCAAACAAGCTACACAACATACTGAACAAACATAGAGCCAAGCATATATGCGTGCTGGCTTGCTCCTTCGGCCTATCTAAACCGGATACTGCCAAGCATATCTGGGTGATGGCCTACCCCTTCGGTCTATCTCAATTGGATATTGCCAAGTATATTTGGGTGCTGGTCTGCCCCTTCGGTCTATTTCAATCGGATGTTTGGTTTATTTCGCCCCTACTACTACCACATAATATCATAACAATAATCACAGAGTCATCATACAAATAAAAACACAACTGACAATTATCACCAAGACAATCATCATGCTATAACATAACTAGTGGGCCGACCTTGGTACCTTCAACCCACAGCTACTACGAAGGAAGACTCACCTCAAAATGTGGGTGTCAAAACTTACTCAGCGGATGACTCACGAACTCCTCTCCCTATTGCACAAGCATAAAATCCTAATTAGCAATTAGGTGATAATCTAGCCCGAAGGTCCAAAACCTCAATCCCTAACTTAAGGCAAAAACATTCCTTTACCTTTGCCTTATTGGGCCTCCTCCCTCCAAGACCTAGTTCCAAAACAACCCAAAAGTGTCGAAGCCCAACCAAAGAGGCTTCTAAGGCCCAATATGGCCCAAAGATATCTAATCATGGTCGTAGGCCCAAAATGCCTTGTTACAAAGGTGGGCTTGAGGCCCAACCTAAAAAAATCCAAAGCCCCACAAAACCAAGAGCCCAAAATCCCTTCTTGTCCATTGCATGCATACGCGCGACGTACTCTGCATGTACGCCCAATGTATGTTGATATTGACTTAGATTCAGGATGTTGGCCCAGTACGTGCAGCATAAATGGGAGTACGGCTATCGTACTGGTCAGCCAACCCAAAACCACTTTCTTGACTTATTTCATTAAGACCTAATGCCTAAAACTTAGATCCAAGCCCCTAGAAACGTCCTAAGCCATAAAGTTGCAAACTTTATGCTTTTGCATGCATGGATGGGGCTTAAAACATGAATCAAGTCCATAAACACACTTGGTTGGTCCCTATCATTTGCATGGTTGAGGCTTAACCATCAAGATCCAATTTTTATGAATCATAACACCTCCAAGAGTTCAAAAGAACAGCTCATATGGATTGAAGTTCCTTAACTCCAATAATCCAAACTACGGGACCAAAAGATGACATTTTCCATCCTACAACTAGATCTAAGCATGCAATGGTCAATGTTCAATCTTTATACCTTCAAAGAGTTGGAAATGGTGCCAAACCTATGGATCTACAAGCTCCTTCCTTTCCCTTGTTTCTTTCCAAACTTCATTCTTCTTCAAAACCAACAAAGATCACCAAAAATCACCAATGTAAACTAAAAAGTGCATGCAAGAGGGTTAGGTTTCGAGTTTAACACTTTAAGGACAAGGGAGTCTGAGAGGGTGAAGATCATGAGGGACTTAAGGTCTTTAAATAGGGTGAAAACCCTAAAAACTAGGGTTTTCCCCTACCAAGAGTACGCCCAACGTACATGGGCGATATTCGCGACCAATGTTCAGCTAGTACGCTAAGCGTACTAGCCAAAGGACCATTTTTGCAAAGATTTATCTTAAGGAGGGTTGAAAAGAAAACTTACAATGGTCCGAATGTTACACCCTCATTGGGCAGATACCTTTTGGGAATGACTAATTTGTGTTGACAATCAACCTGCTTGAGATTAGACCTAAAATAGACAATGCATAACTTGGAATTAAATTCATATATAAGGTATTTTATTATGTTCAAATTAAAGTATAACTTTACTAATGTGATGTTTTGATATGATTATACTATTTAATCCTTATTTAGCTTAGGAGACAATGTTTGTCTCATATATTACATGGTTAACCTCTCTCTCTCTCTCTCTCTCCATATATATATATATATATATATATATATATATATATATATATATATATATATATATATATATATATATATATATATAGTTTAGGATGAGAAGATTAGAAGGGGATCAAAGTTATAGAGACCCCCTTTTGGGTAGAATTGACACCCTGGGGATATTTGTTTCCCTTTTATTGGTATGTATATATCATATTGGACATGAAGATATAATTTATGTTAGTAATACCATGGTAATTATGTTGCAATAGTTTATAAGTATTGAGTCTGTTTTTGGATAAATTAAAATAGATATGTTATCCATGGATTTTATAGTTTGTCCAAAGGTAATGTCAAATTTTCATTATAATTGTTAGATAAAACTTAAGAAGGGACTTTACAAACTCCATCATTTACGATTGCAACAAATACATATGTTTTGCTATCTTTTGGAGGTCCCAACTTGGGAACTAACGATGTGGGTGCTACAAAAGTAGACTTAATGTACCAACCAAAATAATAGAAAACTTCATCAGTATATGAGAACTCAATTCACTTCCTATAGTTTTATCATTCAAAATTAACTTCATTACATATATTTTTCTAAATATTTCCTCCTTATCAAATATAACATCTATAATATTTATGATCTTATAGACCATAACTTGAATCTTTCACTCTAACTTTGAATTTGAGATGTATGCACTTCAATGCTTGAAGTGCTAATTTTCATATTGTCTTTAACATAGAGATAAAAATCCAAAATACTTAAGAAAAGTGATAATCCATAGAATTTCCCTACTATACCTCAATAGGTATCTTCGCATAAAAATAGTGAATAAACTCGCACGACAATGTACCAACTCCTAAAGGTATATATAGATTTTTGTTTGACTTGCTCCATACAACAATGTGAAGATCTTGCACCATATAGTTTGAAATTTTAAAGTTAGCAAAATATTCAACAAAACATCCATAAGTATATGTAAGTGAGATTCCATAAGGAAGGTCTCATGTTCATGTTCAAGTTCAAGCATAAGCACAATCATCATCTTCCTTGTTTTGGGGGTATTGTGATTTATCTCTCCCGTGTATTTTTTTATTTCGATTGTCACTTTTTTATTATCTCCTCAAAACATACATGATGGTATATCATCTTGAGTTCTTTTAACAACACAAAACAAAATCACATAGGAGTAATGCTCTTTGTGATTCTATGCTAAGAAACATACAATAACCATATATAAGCTTTCACACAATAGCTTCATCATAATCAACTTTATTCATTGACATATTCAGCAGCAAACACTTAGTTTCTTGAAAAGTCATGATGTTCAAACTCCTTTTCCTTATAAGATGTATTCAAACAAATGACATGTCAAACCGTTTGTCCTTTTGCGAGTAATGAAGAAGCTCATTTCCTTAGCCACTTGTTAGTTAAACCATTTCATAAAACATATATTTATGACAATAACCAAAGTTACTCTCATTACGCGGAAAGAGAAGGTATATTGGTTCTTTGGTGGTTGTGATAGATTTTTCCTATAATAAATATAAAGTACAAGACTTTATACCTTTAACCAATGCCAAATAATGACTTTTCCATAAATTGATATAGAATACGCTACTTCCCGTAATCGGATTCTCTAAAATAAATTATTGACCCAACCATATTGCGACGCGTTTGTAAATATTTCCATAAAAAAGTTGACTTACTTTGGCAAAGTTACAACCTCATAAATTTCCTTAAATGCATATTTATTTGTTGACCATTTTTACATTTGCAATATATTTTTTTTGCCAATATTGTGTGTATATATATATATATATATATATATATATATATATATATATATATATATATATATATATATATATATATATATATATATATATATATATATATATATATATATATATATATATATATATATATATATATGTCATAAGGGGATATGTAAAATCACCAAACACTATGACGCGCTCAATCGTGAAATACCAATTTATGGCTAATGAAAGAGCAAGGAATACAACCTTGCAGAAGAGGAAAACGAGTTTGTTTAAAAAGATGATTGAATTGAAGTGTTTATGCGATGTTGATGCTTGTCTTGTGATGTATGAGAAAGATGAAGTCCCACCAGAAGTTTGGCCTTCGCCTTCTGAAGCGCAACGAGTGATGCAAAAGTTTCAAAATTCAAAAATCTTGGGTGCAAGTGCTATGCTTGATCAGAAAGCTTTTCTTCAGAAAAGCATAATGAAAACGAAGAAGAATCTAGATAAAGAGAAAGAGAAAAATGTAAAACGTTCGATGTTAATATGCATGTTTGATGAGAACGATCAAGAGGATTTGGAAGGATTGAAGGGTTCGATTGCAAGTGAGATCCGATTGGTTGATCTTATGATTAAGAACGCTTATGAGAAGGGGAAAGAGAAGATGGTTTAAAAATTTTCTTTTATTGAAATTTATGTGATTGATCTATAGATATAAAGCTATTATGTTCTATCTAAATAAAGCTATAAAGTTATTTGGTATGTGGTTTGCTCTTATTTGACATGCATCTGGTTAGAGTCTTTTGTCTGTAATTGTTGTATTCTCTGTTTGAAGCATTCCATCAAACAGCTTGTATGCATGTTTCTCTCTTTTTCACCGATTTAGACATTTAGCGACTCCCTTTGGGTCATTTTATCAAACAGTTTGTGCGCATGTTTCTTTCTTTTGCACAATCTAGCAACTCTCTTGCACCAATTCAGTAACTTTCTTTGGGGCATTTTATCAAACAGTTTGTGTGTGTGTTTCTTTCTTTCGCACATTTACCAACTCTTGTAAAGCATTTGATCGACCAGATAATGTTCATGTCTCTTAATAGAAACTAGCCAACTAGGCCTTACAACTTAAAGTTGAAAAGTAACCAATTTGACATAATGCATTACAAATGCAAAGGAAAACCCAAAACAATTTTCCTAGACACAAACACGTTTATTACCGATTTAAATTATTTCTACTAAACATTATGATGAAAAAGTAAGAAAAAAAAACCTACAGAATCAATCTCCAAGCGCAGAAGCCCTAAAATCTTAAACAATTTTCAGCAACAGGAAGAGAAACGGGGAAGAAGACAAATAAGATTCAAAATTAATCCACACAAATCAAGCCATGGATGCCTCATCAGGTCTTGCACGCTTTGATGGACGTGGACTACATCCACTCTCGATATTGGATTTGTTAACTTCAGGTACTTCTATTTGCGAGTTTGACTTTTCCTTTGACTTCTCACTTCGATCATCATTTTTTGAAGCTTTTTGTTTTTCAGTTGCAGAGGCGTCTTCTTCATCTTGATTAGATGATGATGGCTTTAACCTTCCGTTCTCCATCTTTCTTTGTTGCTCAAACATCAATTGAAGGTACTTTCCTTGTTCTTCTATTCGTAACTGTAAGTTTCTTTGGATCTGAAAACAGAAATAGACACAATTTTCAGCGAAGAGAAAACAGATATATATATTTTTGATAATTATTTATTTGGCATACCTCGAGCTGTTCATGTAGTTGCTTTTGAACTTCCATCTGTAGTTTTAATGCATCAGTGAATCCTAAACTCCTGTCATCAAAACCATATAACAAATGTAATTATACAGAATGGGAAGGGCATTAACGTCTATTCAACACACAAGTGTAGAGAAAGAGAAAGAGACTAACTTGGTTTTAATATCCATAGCTACCATTTCATCAATAGAAGTAGCCTTCTTGTCTGATGTTCCTGCATTAAATTTTATGAAAAACAAATCAAGTATCAGCGTTTTCTTGATTAAAAAAAAGATTTAAAATATTACAATAAGTTGTTCAAGGATCACAGATCTTTCAAGTTTCAACCCGAAAAGATGATGAATATTTTCAAAAAATATATTTTGAAAGATGATTAATGATTAAATATTTAATACCTTCAGATAACTCTGGCTTGTACCTTGCTGTTCTATATTTCTGAAATCAAAGTAACAAAAAAACATCAAATCTGAAGTTTTGACTATTTTTATTATAAAATGTTGACGGGGCTAGTTTTAACTCCTTTGACCTCAAAAGTCAAGGTTTCCTTTTTAGGGGTTGTTTATGAGTAACAATATCTGTTTGGATAAAGTGTCTGAATGAGATCAAACGACCATTTTACCCCTACGTTCCGGAAACAGATTTCACAATATTCATCAATTCCAAATTAGTGTAGTTCAAAGAATAAAAGAAGGACAACTAGCTAAAAGGGTTAGTGTCTCAATACATTAAACCAAGTTTTTTGGCTTAACCCATTAAGTCAAAAAGTAACAGCCATATATAGTTGTCCATATTAAGTGATTAACCAATAAATCGCTTCCAATACATACCTGCAGATGGCTTTTCACATGATAAATAGTCAAACTTTCAATATTCATGAGCTTCAAAACTCCTTTTGGTGTAGCTCCTTCATGATCAAACACAAAAGTCAACAAAAACAATACACTCATTAACTAATTAAATATATTTTTTTTAAAATAAAAATAGTAAAACTTACTTTCACTACCACCAAGCTGATTAACTGCTTCAACAAAGGATTCATGGAGTTCTGGAGTCCAACGCATGCGAGGTTTAATTGAAGAAGAAGCTCCATTAGATGATGGACTACTCACAGGACACACTTCTATACTTGGCACTTGAGGCCTAGGGATTATTTGCATTTGCTGCATAAAATAGCAACCTACTTTACAATTTACCTTTTTACCCCTAATAGCAACATAATAACATTTCTTTACAAATAATAGCAATAAGAAGCATATACCTTTGTTGTATCTAGGGTTGGGACATCCACATCAGCCATGATGTCACTCCAATTTGGGTCAATTGTGTCATCAACACTCATTAATTGGTCAGCCCAATTCTGCCAATCGGTTCCCCTACCACCACCATGGTCGCCGGCCGGAATCAAAGAACTTCCGGCGATATTATTTCCGGCGACATTTTCCGGGAAGTCAATGAGATCTTTAAGTGATTCTGCAGTCCATGAGATATCATCGGTTTGACCGGTGTAACCGATTAATGACATTGATTGTGAATTTACGAAATTGGACGTTTGGAATGATGAGATTGGGTCAGATGAAACCACCATTTGGTTTTGATCAGGGAATAAAGTGTTTGTGTCTGTAATGGAATCGGATATTTTTTTGTATTTTCCTTCAAAACCAGGGATAACTGGATTAGAAGATGACATGGCTCTTGAAACACCCATATGATTATTCAGCTGCTTTTCACCAGATTGTTTTAAGCATACAGGGGTGTATGTCCATTTTTGTCCATTCATAAAACCAGCTTCACTTTTTCTTAACTTTCTGTATTAAGTCCTTCTTTCTGCATTGAGTCAAGAGGAAATACTAGATTAAATTTTGTGTGCTTTTGATGTGTAGTGTGTATCATCTTACTAACATATAGCGAGTGATTAGTTGGGTTAATGAGTTCAGAATTTAAGAAGATGAAGTACAATTGACAATTGAAAAGGCAAATTAGCTTCAAACAAAGGCGGACCTTTATAAGCCACTACATAGCTACAACAAGAACATTATGATGCTAAAATCAACTATTTTGATAAATATTCGCGCACTGAAATCCAAAATCAACTAATATAAATCACAATAGTTGGTGTAAACCTAATATTTGCATCGATTATATCGACAATCAAAAGCTCTAGGATTAAACTCGAACTAAGTGGGTTCGATCACAGAAGGGAATTCGACTGCTCGAATATCTCATATCTGTTCCCCAAAATCACAAATTTAACGAAAACCTACAAACAATACTCAATCGAATTCAAAGAGAAAAGAAAGGCTATTAAGCTTCAACAACATAATTGAACCATAACACGATCACCATCTCCATGTAAGTTGCCGAGATAGGGTATGTGCTAACTGCTATATAATCATATTCACCTCAATAATCGATTCAATCTTTTCGCTTTTGAGGTTACAAGATTTCAATAAACGAAGAGAATAACAACACAAACCTTGATTTCCGCGAGGAGTTAAACAAAGATTGTCGTAAGCAACGGGGACGTACGGAGCAGCGAAAGCAAATTGAACTCCCCAATCCCCAATGAATGGAATACAGAATGATTAGAGACACATAGCACACGTCTTTGGGGTTCTTTACGCCTATTTGTACACTGCGGTTGATTGAACAATCTTCACCGTTGGTATAGATGACTTCTAAATGGATGGAAATTGGACGGTGGAGATTTGAATGTGTGTAGATGATCAAAACTTGCGAGAAAACAGGGGATCAGGCTGATCTTAATGGAATGAAAAGGGTACTCATTGGAAGTGGGACTTATTGATTTCCGAATCAAAAAAACATATATATGAATCCCAATAAAATTTTAAAAATATAATAAATTTATTCAATTTAAAAAAAATAAATTATAATAAGATAAATAAACTTGTTTGAATGGATTTTATCTTATAATACTTCCATATATATCAGATATGGCAAAATAAGTGGCTGGGACACTTATATGAAGGATAAACTTTCATATGATTAAAGTTCACCGATAAATATTTTTTTGTAAGTTTTTCTATCTATAAATTATAAATTATAAATTATTAATATATTGAATATTATTATAGCTTCTTGATTATTACATGAATAATCACATGAATAATCTAAAATTTTTTTTATGCATTTAGATATGTTTTGATGACTTTTAGTCGTTTAGTTTGTTTTATAAGACAGTTGATTATCTTATGATCGTCATTAATCCATTTCTTGAGGATTACACCTTATGTGAGATGTGTATGTTCTATAGGTGTAGCAAAAATAATAAGCAATTAAGGTTATATATATATATATATATATATATATATATATATATATATATATATATATATATATATATATATATATATATATATATATAATATATATATATATATATATATGTGTGTGTGTGTGTGTGTAACAAGCAATTATTATTGTGAGTTAAAATATGCAATGCCAAGTTGGTTTGACCAATAAATATTTTATATTTGTTTTTTAATTTTATACGTTATTAACGTATTAAATAGGACCATAGAAGTTGAAGGATTTACAAGAAGCTTTCTTTATTTTCTAAGTAATTTTGAAGGTTGTTGGGTTGTTTTATTTTTAATTAAAATTTAGAGTTTATTCATTTGGTTTGTTAGAAAGATAATTCCAAGTTGTCTCCTCTAACTAATCTCATACATGATGTATTTTTTTATTATGGTATTTTCATATTAAAGTGTGAATTATATGAGGGTGGAAAACTTGAAAACCGAACATTTACATTATTAAAATGTGAATAATTGAATATTATCACATGTTTTTTTATATATTGAAATTATACCGCTATTGGTTTGTAATCGTATGTTTTATTTTTTATATTTTATTTTATTTTATTTTTAAACTTTGATATGTTTTTTATTAAGCTTGATAACATTTATTTTATTTAAATCCCTTATATTTAGGTTAGTTTATTGGAATGTATCTTTGTATCCTTTATATATTATGTGAATCATAATCAAACTATTCAAGGCAATTATTATAATCCTTATATGTTATCAATCTAGGTCATGCCTCCTCTTCTTCATGGACTCTTCTACTTCTAAACCCATTGATGGAACTCTTTCTTTCAATACGATTCTCCACATGCTCACTATCAAATTCTCCTCCAATTATCTGTTATGGCGGAATCAACGTCTCCTCGTTCTCTCTTATCAACGCCTATCTGGTTATGTTGATGGTTCAATTCCCCCACCACTAAAAACCATACTTGTTGCTGAAATCTCTTCTCCAAATCCTGCTTACACAATATGACTACCCCTACAGTTGATGTTATAATATTGCATAAACATAAGGATTTATTTTACGAGACTTATATCTTGTTTCTTCATGACAATGGTAGTGCTCTCTTCTCCAAATAATAAATAGATATTAAATATATTACAATAAATTAAAAGATAATAATCATTAAATTATAAATGACCAATTCGCATGAATGCTTTTATTTACTTATTTATCCGATAAGACAAAACATTTATTTAGTTTTGACTTAGGCCTCTTTGATATGTTATTTTATTGAATCCGGTAAGAAAACAGGCCTGACTTGTCATAGTCAGACCATTTGGTACCCTCACCCAACACATTTTATTTGGTTAAGGCTTCCACTCATTTAAATTGATTTAATCAACAACTATTAAACAATTTTTAAATGACAAATTGGTTTTAGTGTTTTTATTTTTTGAGTAAATTACACGAATGGTCCCTATGGTTTAGGGTAATTTGCGTATTTGGTCCCTAATTTATTTTTTTAACTCGGAAGGTTCCTATTGTTTTTTTTTGTTACGTGTTTGGTCCCTATCATACATAAAAAGACTATTTTGCTCTTGATTTTTTTAATTTATTTAAATAAACACACCCCCAACCCCACCCCTCTCACCTTACCTTACCTATCCCATAATTTTTTCCTATTTAAATAATAGTCGTTTTAGGCAAGACAGTGACCAAGCGTGTAACAAAAGCAAACAGTAGGGACTAAGCGTGTAACAAAAACAAATAGTTAGGACCTTCCGAGTTAAAAAAATAAATTAGGGAACAAACGTGCAAATTACTCCAAACCATAGGAACCATTCATGTAATTTACTCTTATTTTTTTTTGTTTAAGTCCAAAAATATTCATATTTTTATTGTGTAAGTGTGATTCTTAAACTTATAGTTTCATAACCTTTTTTGATCTATACTGGAAATATACAGAAAAGTCTCAAATTTTTTGGAAAAATTTCAATAAAGTTCTAAAAGTTTTTTTTTTAACAGAAAAGTACCGATTATTTAACATTTTGCTTAGATCAACGATTTTTTTTTAATATTTGAACAACAAATGACAAATTATATGATTTTCTCAAAATAATGAGACTTTTCTGTTTGAAAACTAAAATGCAAATATTCCAGAGTGTTCTACGCATTCTTGAATATGTTGTTTGAAAACTAAAATGCAAGTAACTTAAAGAATAAAACCCATTTGGTTTGACGAATCCATATTAAAAACTATGTGCGAAATGTAGGTAGAACGAACTTCGGAATTGAAGAATCTGGAACACGTATTCCGGAATGTGTTGTGTGGGCCCATATTTATCATTAGGTTGCAGTATTGAGATTAGAGCGTTTGGTGTGGGCAGCAAGGTGCAACACCAAGTTGTGCCACCTCACATGCCATATAAACAAGTGGTATCATAACACCAAGTGGGGAAATAGACAACAAGATGTAGCACCAACTTTTTGAAAATAAATATGTTTTATTTTTTATTTTTTTTGTTTGAAATTGGTTTTTTTTTTGTTTTTTTGTTTTTTTTTTTTTACTTTTTTACTTTTTCGTTTTTTTTCCCTTTTTGTATTTTTTTAATCACTAACATGAATATATTTTTTATAAAACATAAAATTTTAAAAACAAAAAAGACATAATATTTAAAATCTAAAATTACGATTACAATTAAAAAAAAAAAAACATAATTTTAAACATAAAATCATAACTAAAATATCATTCAAATTACTACTAAAACCACATAACAATTCTATTTAACCCAAATATTTCTTCCTAATTTGTTCCTTTATCGCTTGTAGCACCGCTAGATCGGCAGACGCCAAACCCTCCTCGCTTGTCCGAAGAATTGACAACCGATGTGTAACGACATAAATTTTCAAAACTATTTTTCATTTTTAAAACATACTTTTATTCACAAGATAATATCAAAACATAATGTTTCCAATGTTTTCATAACAAAACATATCCCAGAATCTCAAGACATAAAAACCCACGAGTGTATACGGATCATGCTGGCGCCTTTCCGCAATCCTCGCTAGTACCTGAAACACATAACACAACAACTGTAAGCATAAATGCTTAGTGAGTTCCCCAAAATACCACATACAACACATACGCCACTCAAGGCCATAACTATGTGGGACTTTGCGGTCCAAGTGTCTAAGGAGACTTTCGTCCCGAACTCTTGGTAGACCTTTCGATCCTACCCGTATCGACCTTACGGTCAGTAACCTCCTGACCTTCCGGTCCATATCATCTTGACCTTCCGGTCCTTATCATTCATAACATACATAACACATACATATCTTATAACAACATACAACACATACATCTCATAGCATATAAGACCTTCCGGTCACACATAGGTACCATTCCAGGTACAGTATAGTGAGAAGACTCACCTCAAACGATATCGGATAATCTCACGAGCTCGAATACCCGACCTAGCCTCCTCCTATCAAAATAACATCCCTAAT